ACAAGTGAAAGTATGTCACCGCTCGTCACTAGTCAAAGAAGTGGCTTTGTAAAGTGTGTGTGTGTATGACGCCCTGTTAGAAGTGTTCCAAAACTCCGTCGTAACATTATCCTCATGTGAAGTGTTCAGACCATCAGCCTCCGCCACCCCCACCACCAACAACCTCTATACTGTATATATCCCATACTACCTGGAGATGGAGGGTAGTTGATTAGCGCTTGACTGGTAGGTACCCCATCAATCCATAATGCAGACAGGCCAGTTCAGCTCATATATGCTGCAACTAGTTTCAAGTGGACGTTCAAGAAAATGTTAAATTCGCCTATGTTCGTGCATGTCCAACGAGATTACTTCCAGTGGTGTGTGTGTGTGTGTGTGTGTGTGTGTGTGTGTGTGTGTGTGTGTGTGTGTGTCGTGGAGGCTAAACATAACTGAAACAAAGACGCATGCTAGACGACACAGGGTGCTCTGAGAGTCACTTACAAGTTGACTAATAAAGGTGACATTCGTGTGTGATTATATGATTCATGATGACATTGTGTGTATCTATCCCCTCTCAGGGTATATGTCATTAGGGTAACAGAACGCATTTACCAATACATTTCATATATACAACACTGGGTGATTACAAATGATCTTCCTGTTCTGAACGAGTGACCCTGGTGTTTCTTGTTATGTCTCCAGAAATAACAATACCGTATACAGTTCATTTCAGAACAAGAACAAGAGAGTGAACACAAATTATCCTTCTTAGATAATAAATATACACGTTGAGGAGAAAGGGAACACCTTTTGTATATAGATTTATAGAAAACCTACGTACAGACCAACAGGATTAATTGCCAAAATCTCTTCCTTCACACCTGCCCAACACAAAAAGAATCTCCACCCTACTCACCAGGGTTTACGACATTTGTTCAGATTATTTTAAAATCATCCCGATTCGCAGTTCCCTGGGAAAACATTAAATCTTAATGGCTTCCTGCTCAACTTAATTGATACTAGTTAGGGTAACAATTCTCAAGACTACTCAAACCACACACCCAGCCAGCTACTGCTAGGAAAGTCATAGTTTATTTTCCAATCTGATACCATTATCCTTATTGGTATGCCCTCAGAAACAAACTGTCCAAGATTTTATGATAATTTTATCCGCAAATTTCATTGAGTGGTGTTCAGATCAGAGAACACTACACAAGTGTTTTTTTTTTTTTTAATAAAGTTCGAGTCCGTGATGAACTGCAATCCTCACGACAACTGAGTCAGAATTGCCGAAGAAATTGACTTTTATGCTAACCACCCTATTCAGCAATCAAGGATCATAGCAATAGGCATGTGATCACCCAATAAGCAAGTCAGATTTTACACTGTTTACCACTTGCCCTGACAGGATAACACAAGTGATGGCAGAGTCTCTCCTCACCCGCCAAGTCCAGCCAGTCCTGAGCACCCACTACTCTTCTGCTTTCCTGATTCAACTAGATAACATACTTGCTGGTATCTGTACTACAGTATATATTCATCTTTGGTATTATGATATAAGCTGCTACTCTGCGATTTTTGCTGTGTTGGTGAATGCTTTTATTTTTTCAGTTAATAATTCAAGGTTTTAGTATTCATGTTAGCCTTTTTAGTGTAAGGCACTTAATGAATCCAATGCCTAATTAATTTTATTTGTCACTGAATTTTTAATATTGATGTTATTTCATATTTTAGGTCTGACGATAACAAGAGTCGAAACGTTACCAAATTACTGTAATATGTTGCTGTTTATCCATACGTTGGCACTCTTATTCATATCGATAATGTAAACACACATTAGTCAGAAACAAAATATGATTTATAAGAACTCTGTATATATCCTACGTAGACGTGAAATGTCATACGCATTTAATTTACGTTTCACACTGTTTTTAACTTTGTATTAGTCAGCTTGGTGTAGAAATAACTGGTGTCTTCTTCAGCATATTTCAACACCTCATATCAGGAAACCTTTATTTGTTTTGGTATGCAGTGACCATGGACTCGACACTTAGGGAACTAGGATGTATGGGAAAGTCAAATGTTTACAAGGGCGAGTCATATATTAGCATCATAACGTACAGGTCTATTATACGTGTATGGTTATGTTACAATATAAGTAAAAAGATACCTGGCTCTGGAAACATGTTGGTAATCGTAAACAGAAATTTAACCACTGTGTAGGATGTCTGAAAATTACCCAAATCTGATTTTTTTTTTCTGGGGTAAAATATCACATTATACAGTAACTATGTTTATTAGGTATGCCATAGAAAAGGTGCACATATACAAAGTTACAAGCAACTAAAATGAACTCATGATATTGTAAATACCCAGATAAGATCAATAGATAGATAAGCTATGTATTTGTGTAACCTTAATATCACATCATAGTGTTTGCAGTTGTGTAACATTATCTTTAATATTATAATACGATAAACATTTTACTCGTTGTATTTGCACACTGACAGTACTGTATATAGGAATCGTCCAGTAAATAAGAGCGATATTTTAGATGTAGATCTTCAGTCTTAAAGTTAGCTTGTTGCATAGCTTTATCCTAAATAATTATTTTATACTAAAAACTATGTCAGTTAGGAACCTAATATTTTACAGAAATGTTGCCTAATGTTACAGAAAGGCGTGATATGATTATGAGAGTTATCAGGTATCGCGGGACCCATCAGTGGCGTTTAACTGTTCTGTATTCTCTCACACTCAGTCACACCCTGGCCGCTCACTGTTGATGTGTCTGAAGTCATTATGGCTACCTTGATCCCCATATCTTACGCCGCCAGATTTCATTTTTGGGGGTATATTTAAAGGTACAAATCCACTCACCCTTGGTTAATTAAAAGCAATAAACAGCGACACAATCAGGAATAGTTCTCAAGAAATGGTACCGGTATGCATTGTTTTGGAGAGGATACCACGAAGAATAATTTGTGTGGTCACTTCCAGCACTTCATTTACGGAAATCAATTGTGTGAGTTGTCACGTCTTTCTTTAACATTAAGCTACATTTCTGTAGAATATTAGGCTCAAAACTGATAGTTTTTAGTGTTTGGGAATTATTTAGGGTTCTCGAATAAAAAAAATAACCTTGTACTTTGGAACAGATGAAGGAGGCAATAATTCAAACTTAGTTCCTGGAGATCAAGACACGTAAAATAGTTTTAAGTCTTTGTGTGGTATACAGACAGTTAAGCTCGTTTCACCAATTGATCTTAAGAATTTAAGAATTAACAAAGAAAGGGTAAAAGAGATAAATGTTTGTGACAACTTATGAATAGAGTACACGTACTCGAAAGAAAGGCCAATTATATGTATTTATTCCTGTTTTTACATGAAACTGTTTGTAGATTTTGATTTTAAAGTATCATTAAAATAATAAGATTATTACTTTAATAAATTAACTATGGGCGTATAATCTTGTAAGTTGAAACACCTCAAACAAGACACAGTAATTTGAAAAAATCGGTCTACTTGTCATTTGAAACAATCAAATATTAAGTGTAGCATCTTTAGTAAGAATGAATTGAAAGATGGTGAGTGTTGAGGTGGTAATAAAATACTGAATTAAATTATCTTTTGAGATAGTAAGCAAAACCAAGTAACAAATGAAAACTCACCTGAAGAATGGACGCTTGAGGTTCTCATAAATCATCTGCTTCAAAATGTTACGGCCATTGTTCTGAATTGTTTTTGTGATGTGCAATAATAATATTTAATTCTATGTTAGTTAAAATTCAGTGTTAATATAATATAGAAGTAAATCACGTGTCAACATGGTAAAGTATGAACAGCAAAGTGGTTTTTAAATAAAGTTAAGACAATCTGCATATACAACATGTACTTCCATAACTTGATAACATGTATTTTAAAGCAATATAAAGTATAAGTATTATGTCTACTGTATATAGATATTACATATGGTTTCACTAGATTGCGTTAAAATACACAAAACAAGTTTAGTTTGTAAAATATCTTGTGAGTGATAAGTTTGTCTCACACACTATGAGAATAAAACTTCGAAAATGAATGAGGATGGTAATATGGCAATGAATTATAAACAAAAGATTTGTCACGGAGATTAATTCTTAAAGGGTGTTCAATTTGAATGCACATGTGTGAATTACATTAAACTTATGGTAAAAAATAGAACAGTAACGAAGTGTGTATCAGAAAGGTTTGGAGGGAAATATTACTACACAAGAAACACTCAACATTTGGTATTATTTGGTGGGTATGACTTGTATAATTGTTATATTTTATAGTGTTGAATTTAAACGACATCTATCAGTGGTAATTGTTTTAGTTAAAGAAGACATTGCATAATAAGTCGCGTTAACATGATTATTGAGTTACAAATTTCTAGTTTAAGACGATAGTTTTCTATAACTATTAAACATAATGAAATGTTTTTTATTTGGAAATGTATAGTTCTTATTATTACTAATGAAAAACCCCTAATTAACTTAGAACTTTTGTTGTATTTCTATGTTTTCGAGAATATGCTGCAGGACAAGGAAATATGATATTTGAAATTTATTTTATTACAGTGGCTCCTTTAAATCAAAGAAAATGGCTTAGTTCACGAGTTTTCTTTGAATAAAGTACATTTTGCTCAATTTATGTCGATAAACTTGAACTTAAAACTTTTGATACTTACGATTATGTAGAATATATATAAAGTGACATTTTGACACTAAATGCTATGCGATAGATCCTTAAGAACTCAGTGAATATTGAAAATATTGTTCGGTTTGGCAGGAGGCTCAGGAGTGACCTGCACTATTTACATCATGTATTCTTACGCTTTTTCTGAATTATGTACTATAATTACAGAATATAAAGTTTATATAACATTATAATTTAAGTAAAAATATTTTCCTCTTAGTTTGTGTTTAGTAATGATGTATTTAGCGTGATGGCGGCGGAGCTGAGGGAACTAGTTTTGTGAGCGCGGATATGAGGCAGTGTGCTGTGGCCAGAGTGACTGTGGCGCGTCTTGTTGTTTGAGATCCAGAATTTCGTGAATTTTTGACCTTTCTAGTGATATATTGTTATATTTATAAAGTGTCACCTCAAGTGCTATAATGAAAATGAGTAGTATTTGGTCATTACCCCCATAACGTCAACAGAACCAGCCTTTTGAGGTAAGTTATGAGTTTCACCTCTGTTCTTTCTCCAACTGAAGTTTCTTTTCGTAGCTGTTTTCAAAATAGAGTTGAAAATCTGGCGTGGAAAATGTTCCCAAACGGCCAGAGTGTCATGCATGGTCATGTCATGTCATATGCTGTACCACCATTATAGTCAGCTGATTGTCATGTGAGCGGCTGTAAAGTAAATTTTTGAATGCTGTGAGGTTGGTGAGGGCGGCTGTACACTTGGCCATTGTACCCTGGCGGCGACACCCGCAACCTGACCTGCACACCCACCACATTTTCACTTCTCTACATCCTTATTTATGTCATTTTTACACTTGTCGCCCCAGGATCTACATGACCTGGGTTGACTGGCACTCTTAGATGCAATAAGCGTGGTTAAAGGCCGCCGTGAGGCCAGAAATAAGGGGTAAACGCCAGCGGGGTGGTGGTTCAGGGCCGGCGGGATAGATGGCGCCGCCTTCGTCCCCGCCAGAAAATGGAGTCATTGACATGGCTAAAGCGACCGTAGCCTATCACGTACTTTCTACCAAAACATACAATAAATATATCCTCTTTCGCCCCAAAACTGTAAAATATTGCCATTATATTGTGTGTCTTTGCCATAAAGGTTGAAAGAACTTGGCGGGGAGGAGCCAGTACGCTGGGATAACGGTACTGGGTACTGGTTGTTCAGGATCAGCTGATCGGGAAAGATTTTGATTTGTGAGCTTATATATTGGATGTTGTAGGGTGGTGGTGATGAGCCATGTGCCGGCAGTGTTGGGTGGCTGTGTGGCCAGCCCAGCTTGGTGGTGTGGCTCGGTGGGAACTAGACTTAACTCCACACTTATCATGCAGATGCATGCTGTCCCTGGGTAACCTACTTACAAATAAACAGTAGTTTGTAGCTGGATACGGGCTCTGGTTCCCGGAGTAGAGACAGTATTTGTGTAAATTTTAATTAATTTACTGAATCCAAATTAAAGTGGAAATTGTCCTGGGAATCATTACTACTTGGTCTGTTAGGAATGAAGTTGCTAAGTAAAGGTCAAGATTGCTACATATTGGCATATTGAATATGTAAGAATGCTCAGGTTTGATTGGTTCACATCGTTTGTGTTCATAAATAGTTTGGCACTAGTCTTGGATCAAGTGTGATGAATGTCGGAAAAAAAAATCAGAATTGATAATGTTTTCTTTAGATTATCACACAAACATTTGGGTGCTACTATAGTATGTGGTCTATCTGGATATTTAGTCTACAGTATGTGGTCTATCGGGATATTTACACTAGTATGCAGTCTACTGGGATATTTACACTACCCTGTACCAGTATAGTGCTATGAGATCTACTGGGATATTTACACTATAGTATGCAGTCTACTGAGCTGGAGGATATTTACACTAGCGTCCATTAATCTAACCGAACTTCACTTGACCTAGGTTAGGTTAATGGACACTACAGCAAATATCCTGGTACTGTATACCGATTCCATCTCTATAGATGGTTTTATATCTAGAAGTGTAAGTAATAAGAGTGCAGAGGTCTTATTGCAACTATATCTTGCGCTAGTCAGGCCGCACCTCGATTATGCGGTTCAGTTCTGGTGCCCTTATTATAGAATGGATATCAATTCACTAGAGTCGGTGCGGCGAAGAATGACGAAAATGATTCCTGGACTTAGAAACCTTCCATATCAGGATAGGTTAAAGAAACTAAACTTGCATTCCCTAGAAAGACGAAGAGTGCGGGGAGATATGATAGAAGTATTCAAGTGGGTGAAAGGAACCAATAAAGGTGATATAGATAAAGTTCTTATAATATCCGAGCAGGATAGGACTCGGAACAACGGATTCAAGTTGGATAAGTTTGGGTTTAGGAGGGAGATAGGAAGGAACTGGTTCACAAATAGGGTGGTGGATGAGTGGAACAAGCTTAGCAACCTTGTAGTAAGTGCTGGAACCCTGGAAAGTTTCAAAGGGAGGCTGGATAGATTCATGGATGATAGAGAGTGGTAATAACTCTCGACAGGAGCTGCCATGCACAGGCCAACCGGCCTATTGCAGACTCCTTATTTTCTTATGTACTTATATGGCTCTGTAGACCACCTTCCGGTACTATAGTAGCACCAACATTTCTATTGGTACTTAGAATGCTAATTTATTGGAACAAAAACAAAGAACTTTGAATGTACCAAAACAGTGGGTCGGCCTTGACTTTGGCAATTGTTATTATATAAGAATAAACCCTTAGTGGGATAAAATATTTAGCCGCAATGAAGCAGTAAATTATTTATTTTCTGGTTTACTGTACTTACAGTAGCAGTTCATTCTTGCAGAAATAAGACATATTAGCTCGGTGATATTTCTATTTGCAGGAGTGCCAAAACTTTGGAGGCAATGGCCTGCTTGTTAGTTGTTTTTCCTTGCTGCAATTATTATGCCCGTGGAGTTGTTCTGGATACTAATTCCTGTACATGTCCCAATATGTACCAGATATGTCGGTAACTTCTGCACTGCTGCTCTACTAATGGAAATGTAACATATAATTCCAGTGGGATCGGATAAGTTGATATATCGTATTTTAAGGTTTCGCTAAATAAAGACGTACTCATTTACCAGATCGCTCCAACCATGAAAAAAAAATACATGTAGCACCTGTACTGTATATGGTATACTTGTATTATAACTGTATCACTTTTAACCACTTAGGTATGAGGGATCTCTCTCTGCTGAATAAAATCATCTGGCATTAGCCAAATGAAATATTAAATATGGCATTCAGTAGTGAAGGGGTTAGTGGATATAGTGTATTAGCCCCTTGGGGCTGAGGGGTCTATCTGTGCCGAGTAGAATTGTCTGGCATTAGCCAAATAAAATATTATAGTGGCATCCAGTAGTAAACGGTTTAATGACATGGTTTGAATTGTGTGATATCGGAACAACTTATGATGTAATGCTTAGAATAATCAGTCTGAGAGCCACTCGTTAAGGTATCTGTAGTTTCACTCTCTCCTGAACGTATCAACAAAAGAAGCTATGACCATCACCTTAGGTGGGAAGAACGTAAGACTAAAGGGAACTTCAGTAGTGCCTACTGGCCCATACTAGGCAGCTGTATTTTCACCCATCCCTTACTCATAAACTGGTTTTGAAGTTTCTCATTTGAATTATCGTAATGATGGTTTTTGGTAATTTGTTCCACTCTTCTGGAACAATGTGTACCGGTACCGTACTTAACAGTATAGGGTACTTGCCAGTGTGGTATCTAATACTTCCCCGAGTCTAAATTTCTCTTAATTTAAGACTGTAGCTAATTGTTGAGACAAATAACGTCACTGTCTCATGCTGGCCAAGAAATTGCACTTGTCTCTAGAGGTTAGGATAGGATTTTTAAAGAGAGACGACTTGATAAGACTTGTCTTTATGATTAGTCCCAGCTAATTTATAACACGTGCTTCGTATTTGCTCTTGATTTGATATTTTAACGCCTTGTGTACTTGATCCTCTCCGTGCTGAATAAAATCATCTAGCGTTAGCCAATTACAGGTAGTATAATAAAGGTGGTGTCCCTGTAGTGTAGGGATCAAGATCCTTTTATTATCACCTTTTTTAGCCCCAGTTAGACACTATGGTCATATATAGTACCCAGTACAGGGCGTCCTCGCTTAACGTCGGGGTTACGTTCCTGAAAACGCGACGTTATGCAAAACAGCGTTGAGCGGATCAATTTTCCCCATAACAAATAGATAAAATACGGGAGTTATGTTCCTGAGCCTCCCTTTGCCCCATGAAAAAAGTTGCATATACAGAAAATCATTGCCATTTCTATAGAAAATAGTATATAGAACTACAGTACTAAGTTATGTATTGGTACTCACCGATGGGTGGAGGTGGTAGGGGAGTCACTGAGACTGTGGCTGCCTCCTCCTCCTCCTGCCCTGACTGGGGTTCGTCCGTCGCTGCTTGCTCCTCCTCGGCTGCCGGCTGTTGTGAAGAAGCTCCTGACGTCCTGCCACGAAAAAATTAATCCAGTGTTGACTGCTTGGTGCTACTCATCTTCTTATAGATCTCGGTGTAACAACCAAGACTGTCTTCAATGCTGCATTGAGCCTTTGAGCTACGTTCTCTGTTTGGGTCGTCACCTAAAAGCATTTGCATTGCTTGCTGGAACATGTTCAACGATTCTGCCAACCTCTTGGAAGTTAGCATTCGTTGAGCTTCTTCGTCGTCGTCTTCAACGGGACTGTGTTCTGCTAATTGTTGCAGATCTTCTTTGGTGAGCTCTTCTGTATGGAATGCCAGGACATTCCCAATATCCTCTGATTCCAGCTCATCAAAGCCTGCCTGTCTAGCCAAGCTGAGGATATCCCTATTCATAGCTGGGACTAAGTCCGTGAATCCCGTAAAACTGTTGATGCACTTGGGCCACAGTTTACGCCACACACCATTCAGGCAACTTTCTGAAACATCTTCCCATGCCTTGCCATTGTTGTCAGTTGCATGAAGAATGTTGAACCTGCGCCAGTGTTCTCGGATCGTTGGTTTATTTCCGTCTGTAGCCTTGAGCAGCTGGGCCACGGTACAGCATAAATAATATGCCTTGAATGCGGCGATGACGCTTTGGTCCATGGGCTGCATCAATGCTGTTGTGTTGGGAGGCAGGAATACAACTTTTACACTGTCATGCAAGTCGTCGAGATTGGGAGGATGAGCTGTAGCATTGTCAAGGACCAGAAGAATTTTGAAATTAAGGTGCTCCTTGGCACAGTATTCCTTCAGTGCAGGGACGGCATACTTGTTTAACCACTGGTTAAATATGGCGCCGGTTATCTATGTCTTTTTGTTTGCTCTGTAAATGAGAGGAAGGTGATCCTTAGAGTAACCTTTCAGGGCCCGTGGGTTGGCAGCGCGAGAAATCAGCATAGGCTCCAGCTTGAAGTCACCGGAAGCGTTTGCGCCAAGCAGCAGCGTCAAGCGGTTTTTTGCCGCTTTAAAACCTGGCGCTC